TCACCGGCTCGCCTGCAGCAGAGACATAAACTAAGTACATACCCTCCTCCTGATGTTGCTTATAGTAGTTATAGAACGCGGCCGCACACATGCATCCATGGGAATCGATCAGACTACTAGCTTTGAACTTGTGTAGTCTGGCGGTCCCTCCACCTGGCAAAGTGTGTTTGACCACTTTTCGGTCCCAGTCAAACTGGGGCTGTGCCACAGAGACGTAGTACATACCCAACAAGATATCCATAGGGAGATCGTCGCTCACTAGGAATGAGGCATGATGCCTCAACTCCCCTCCTGCGAACGGGAACAGGCATTCTACATCCTGAAGGTAGTCATTAACTACCATGCGCTGTTTGTTGGCACAGGTCGACTCAGGCGCTGCACTTGCCCCTGTAAAAGCAACCTCTCAACGCACGCGCGACTAATAAAGTTTCGTGTCGAGCAAGTGTCATAATAGGCCCCGGCCTTGTGGCCGCCTACGACTATCTCGCTGACGAACATCTCACCCTTCGGGGCTTTAGTTAGTGCCGTCCAAGAAGCTAGTGGGTCTAGTCTAGACCACTCCTCCTCTAGCTCCTTTAACTTGAAGGACTCAAACACATTCATCGAGCAAAGGGTCGATGGGTCTGAATGCGTTTGCGGGACGACAAGGGAATCAGTAGCTTGGGCCATAATGCGAGATGGCGAGGGTGTCTCCACCACCTCRTCCCTAGTAGGAACAACTACTATTCCTACTGGCCTGACGTGTTTCCCGGAGCAGTGCCTGATGAACTGGCAACATTGCTACCTACGGGAGATGAGGATCCTACCGCTTGCCCCATAGTAGGCGGGATCTTATCGGTGACCTTCTTGTTCCTACATTTGAACTGGTTATGGCCGTACTAACCACAACGAATGCAGGTCTGTCGGTTCCACCGATCTCTCCACACGTCCTCGGAAAGACCCGCTTTCTCCCATGGAGGAGCATTGGGGTCAACCTGATTTCTAGACCGGGAGCCCCCTCGGCGTCTACCGGTCCCCTTACCTTTTTGTTGGGTTACCGCGGCGACTACTCCACCCTCTTAAGCATCGCCACCTGCCTCTGCACCTACTCCTAACTGGGAGTCGTCGTCCAACTCAATGGTTGAGCCATCGTGGTCGACGAACATAATGCGGCCCTTGGCTTCCCAGTTAGGAGGCAGGGTCTTCTTTTTCCCGTCCGTCACTAAGTTATGTCCATGCCCTATTTTTGCTTCTAGGTCTAGGGCCACCTTACTGAACGAAGGAAAGTTGTGCATATTGATGTTGGCCTCTTTTGCCAACTGGTTCCTGAGAGGCTGGGATAAGCATCTCAAGTACGAAGTCAACAGGACCTGGGGGTTATAGCGTACCCCTGGAACACAGATCAGACGCTCTACAGCGTCTGTGGCTTCCCTTACTGACTTATACTGCCTCGTGTGCAGTGTCAGGATCGCATCAGTGGCCTTTTGGGCCTCCTGAGGATCATGCCATCTTTCTTCCACCATCTTCAAGAAGTCCTCCAATTTCTGAGAGGCTGCCCAAGAGTGGAAGTCATGACCGTGCCCCTGGAGTTGTACTAACCCACTCAACCATCTTGATGCACTACCCTCTAGGTAGGATGCAGCCACAAGCACTTCTTCGTGTGGCAAGGTGAGTTTACACCTGACATAGACCGGCACTGCCCTCAACCAAGTGTCGAGGTCTTCGCCTCTCTTGTCCCCTGTAAAKGGTTTGGGAGCGGCGATGGCCGTCTTTGGAACCCACTGACTTTGTCCCGGTCCCTGCACCAACCCGGGTTGTGGACCCGGTGATACAGGTTGTTGTGCTAGCTGCTGGGGCTGTGTGCCCTGTGGCTGCACAGACTGCGAGACAATAGATTGCCCACTGATGGCAACCTGTGACGGAACCTGGGTGACTACTGACTGTACTGGAACCTGAACACTAGGACTTGTTGATATCCCTCCTGAGAGCGGCATGCCCAGGGAAACGACAACAACCGTCGACGGGGCTACAAATGGGGATACCCCAGTGACCGGTGGGACAGAGAAGGGAGGATATGGCACAGGCCAGGCACCCGGCCCTGCCAGTGATGGCGCTGCCTGAGAACACCCTACCAAAATGGCTAGGCTCTGCTGGATGTCATGAAGGATGGTAGGCTGATGCTCCTGCATCTCTATTACCCCTAGCAGGGCCCTCCTAACTACCCTCACGTCATCATCCATGTTCGTCGAGTCCATCGTTTCTAACTCCTCTATGTTTGTCCCTCTTCGTTGCAACCTGGTTCTTCTTCTAATCATCATTTCCTTCTCTCTTTTTATATGTCCTAATGCCTGCTGTAGCTGTGCCTCTTGCAGGGCTGCCTGCTGGATGGCGACATCCTCTGGGGTCAACACCGCGGGCTGGCTAAGCCAGTGGACTGACTCACGGTCTGCGCGACCGTGGACCCGGCGGTACCTGAACTACCGGCTTGGGAAGTTTGCTGCGCAGACGTACTCATGGCTGTGGTAGCCATGGCTGCTGTAGCACCGGCCTCGCTAGCTAATGCCCTGCTGGCCTCGGCTGCTCTAGCTCTTCTCTGCTGCTGCCTCTCCCGCTGCCGGCGGAACAGTTCCCTATCACCCTCCGGTCCTAAGGACACGTGAGTTATCGGGCCTCTAGCCGATCGCAAGATCCTGCGGTCGTCCTCTCCGGTGTCCCCTGTGTCGCTCATAGGCTACAACACTGTGTGCTGTCTACACTAGATCATTCTAGATGCCTACCGCAGCATAGTGCACAGACCAAATAATTGATGGTGGCTACTTTTGGAACAGATCTCATTTGGGGTCAGCAGATGCTTCAGACTCCTACAACTGAAACTATTTTTAGTATGAATAGTCCACAAACAAAAGCACCAGGAACAATCAACAGTTCTTACTAATGCTGTCTGTCAGATGTCAATGGCAGTCCATCTAACTAATCAAAACATAAAAATAGAATCACTTGTGTGGATAGGACAGCATGGTATTTTCTCGAACTTGTCACCTGGAATCAACCCCTCCCTCTAATCTACACTTGAGTATCTCTTGCCGTCAGCGTCCTGAGCAATCGGGTAGCATGCGTGACTGAAGGTGTGCAATCCGGTCCCACCCCTGTGCCCCAGGTTATC